AAGTAGACTCCTTTATTCCCGTTGCAATTACAATATCACGTGTTCTTTCCTTATTTTCAAAACGCTTGTCAACATCAAGCGTTTCTTCAAGTGTTATAGCCTTTCTTTTACGATCATCACCGGAAACGCGATCACCAGAACGCTTCCCGGAGATATTCCTATTTTCCATAGTCACAAAATTGGAGAAACAGTAATAAAAAATCACTGAGGACGCTTAAAAACTTCCCACGTGTTTCAAACTGATCGTGTGGTGTAAACAGAGCGCGCGGGTCTAAAATGCTACATATTTTGTTTTTCTCTCTTATTTAAAATTTTACAATTTGCATATACAGTACTGTACAGGTATACTGTATACATAAATATTACATAAATTATTTCTGCAATTCTTCACAAACAAAACACATAAATCAATTGAACATGTGATGTCGAACATGAACTGTAAACACTGCATAACCCCGCGCCAAGCCACAACACTGTACAGTACACTTTAAATGCTACGTATTTAGTTTTTCTCTTTTATTTAAAATTTTGCAATTTACATATACAGGTAGTTCTGCTATAACGCGATAATTGTGTTCTTGTAAAATATCGTGTTATAGAAAATCGCGTAATAGAAATAACAGGGCTTATGGAGAAAATAGGGTTAGGTGCAGATTACTCGAAATCGAAAAAATTTAGTAGTTAGCCTAACACAAAGGATAGCACAGTCTAAATAAATGTTACATTCATATCTAATAATGAAATCATACAGTAAATGTAACACTTTACTTGATGGGGGAGAAGGGTGATTTTGAGGTTGATAAAATCGAGCTTCTCTTCAAGTGTTATATCCTTTCTTTTACGATCATCACCGGGAATTCTATCACCAGAACGCTTCTTGTTGATATTCTTCTTTACTATATTCACAGTTAATACCACAAAATTGGAGAAATAATAAGCAAAAATCGCGTTATAGCAAACAAGCGTTCGCGTTATACAAATATCTTTCCTAATTCATAAATCGCGTTAGAGCAAATTCGCGTTATCAAAACACGCGTTATAGCAGAATTCACTGTATATGTAAATTGTAATTTACATATTATTCATATTATGCTACAGCGCCCACAAAACATGAGAAACGTTTGAGTCCCCCAGTAGAGATGTTCGTTCTCTATCCACTTCAGGGTGTCTTAGTCCTTCGTTTTCTTTTTGCGTACTCGCTCAGGGACTCACGTATTTCTGTATACAGTATAACACAGGATGATAAGGGAATTGGAAATTATGAGTGAATGAATTTATTATACAGTCAATTGGATGCACCCACAGCGAGAGAAAAGAGTCTAGATGTATTGAGTATATGTCGTACAGAGGTAAAGTCCTGTGTCCATTCCATCTCGTATTAAGTTTTTTGACTTGATTATTTATTGTGTGAATATGCAGTGATCAATTAACATAGTTTTGATGTGTTTAAGTAGTATTCAGGCGCCTTCAGCCTAGTAATGTAAGGACATTCGTATCACTCACTCTAAACCACGAATTCCATCCATACACAGAGAGAGAGAGAGAGAGGCCAAGCGCTCTGTTTACATCACACACATAAATATTACATAAATTATTTCTGCAATTCTTCACAAACAAAACACATAAATCAATTGAATATGTGATGTCGAACGTGAACTGTAAACACTGTGTGTGATGTAAACAGAGTGCGGGTGTAAAACGCTACGTAATTTCTTTTTCTCTCTTATTTAAAATTTTACAATTTGGATATACTGTACAGGTATACTGTAGACATAAATATTACATAAATTGTTAATGCAATTCTTCACAAACAAAACGCACAAATCAATTGAACATGTGATGTCGAACGTGAACTGTAAACGCTGCATAACCTCACGCCAAGCCACAACAACCGTTCGAGTGGAATCGCGTTACATCCAATGCATTCGCGTTTTACAAATATTGTTCCTCTATTCATCAATCGCGTTACAGCCAATTCGCATTGACAAAACACGCGTTATAGCAGAACTCACTGTATGCTACTATGTTCAGCTTCTTATGGCGTATAATACATCGTTAATAATATAAAGTGTTCAATAACGGATAATATATACAGTAGTACAATAATATCTCCGTTAGCCGGAATCCCTCAAACCCGGAACTCTCCGATAGCTGGAATTGAAATTTTCTCGGAAAATCATTCCTGAGGGGCACATTTTCCCGATACCCAGAAAATTCCGGGGATGGGGGAGTTTTTTCCGGGTCTGAGAGATGATGTTATGGGCAATTTCTGGAACTTCCGAGAAAATTTTTCCGTTAACCGGAAAATTCTGGAAAAATCCGGAGATGAGGGATTTTTTCTGGCTTTGAAAGAGTCGTCTCGTTACCCGGAATTCTCTCATTCCCGGAAGTGCTCTGCACCAATTGTTCCGGCTAACGGGGATATCACTGTACAGTACAGCTCCTCCCCGACTTACAACCTACTCGACTTACGACCACCCACACTTACGACCTGCCTCAGTCGTACCAAAATTTTGTCAAATTACGTATTTTCGAGATCCAACGTCAGTACACAGAAAATTTTCGTTTGTAATTCACTTTAAAATGGCTGGCATGCTTAAAAGTGAGAGTTTTGTGGTGCTGAGAAGAAAAAGAGACACCCATTTTAGATTTTCTATGTATTTTTTAAGTATTTTCGACTTACGACCATTTCAACTTATGACCTGGATTTGGGTCCCTAACCCCGTCGTAAGTCGGGGTATCGAAGGTGACCTCTCACTATCTTTCTCTCCCTCCCTCCCACAACATTGTAATTGTAAAGGCCTGGCCTGTAATGATATAAATCCCTTGCCAGCCTAATCAGAATCTTATGAAAAGGAAAGTCAAGAACCGTTAGAGATTGATATCTCTTTAATACGAAAAAATCACAATACAGTAATTGACACCACTCACACAAATATTAAATAAACAGAACTGGAGTCAAATAATTACTTAAAACAAAACAATCAATACAACACAGAACAGGTATTTTCTACGGCTGCAGATGAATCTTCCTCCTAACCAGCTCTGTAGAATGTTCTGGTAATGCGGTGATCCGCTCTCAGGGGGAAGGTCCAGGGCAGCTTCCTCACTTGGCGCCGACGTTGGTGGGAGATGTCTTGCCACACAGGAGAGACGCCAGGGCACGGACGGTGGATAGGGCGTGGAGGAAGTGGTGATGACGTGGCAGCCGCGGTAGTAGCTGGAGTAGGTGACCGGAGTTGACAGTCGAATAGTGAAGGACTGGTATCGAACAGCTTGGTGAAGTAATACCTGTGGTGAAGGCTGAATTGTGTCTGGCGTGCGACGAAGCAGCAGCGACCTTCTCATCCCCCCACCCCCTAGTGGGGCTGCGAACAAGGAAACGAGCGGCGGACAGCCTACCCGCTCGTTACAGCCCTTACAATAATCTCACAAAAAAAAATTCATTATTAGAGAAGACATTAATCATGTCCAAATGTGGCTGTATTTCTTCAGTAACCAAAAAGTAACGTACAGGTTTATAAGAATGGGATATCGACATAGTGAGGGCGTGCATGTGTTGGCAGATCTGCTGACTCTAAAAATTTTCCATTATCCCACAAATTTCCACTAACACGTAATCGTTTTTGAAATGTGTGGGGATATCTTTTAAAGTGATTAATGGCAGAAACAGTGGCCAACGCATCAGCCAGCGGCTGATGGGAGGAATGACAACTTAACGTGAGCTCAGTGCTTCAACACTGGTGAATAAGTCTCAATTTATGCTTACCTTCCTTAATTAATGTTTATTATGCTTGGTTTTTATGTTTGCTTTTTTTTTCTTGCAAGGGTAGATGGGATTTTTTGGGGGGGTGGCTGGCCTCTAACCTCCTGAATTTGTTATATTCTTATGGAATTTGTTGCTTCAAAAACCGTTGATTCCCTGTCCATTGACTTTTCGTAGTCCTCATATGCATCGGTTATCGAGATATACCCGCACAGTACAGAGTAGGTATTAGGTTGTTGCAGGTGTGTATTGTAAGATCATTAACATGGGCTACAGTCTGGACAAGTAGAGTCTTAGTAAAATCCTACAAGTTCACATTGGTTCAATATGTACACCCGCCACAAAAAGTTCTTGAACGCTTAAGGTTTATACAATATGACAAAACAAACGAGAAATCTGAACATTGCTCTCTGATGAAATTTTAGTGTAAATTAAATTATTTCTTTTCACCTGTAAATGCTATCAAGATGTGCAACATATACTGTACCGGGTTTTATTATGAAATATTGAGTCACTTCACAACCAAGCATACCAACCAGCCAGAGACAACACGAGCCATAGTGCTCATTCTGAAATCTGTTGTGCTCAACTGTCAGCAAACAGTAAGTTGACTCAACCAAGGATGGCTCAAGAAAGCTACTGTTTTCCCTCAAGCACCTCAGTCAGGTTTTTCATTCATATTCTCCCATTAATGCACAAAAGACAATTTTGGTGGTGAACAGGAAAAAATTAAGTATGAGCTCATGAAAAAAGATGTTCTGAATCTTTCTAGGATGAGAGCAGTTCATCTGCTGATGTTAGCATGAAGACTTGAGTCTAAGTCATGGTCACACAAGATGTGAACCAAAATACAACAGGGAGAAAACATCTCAACTTGATATTTACTGTATCAGAAGCCAAATACTGTAAAGGCATACCATATCATACTAGCCCAAAACTTATGACCAATTTGACTTACAGCTGTGTGTGTAGAACTTTATATCTCCCAGGTTAATCCTAAGCAAAACACCATACAGGTACTGTAATTAGTGCTTCCTGCCTTAGTAAATTCTTACTGTTACACAGTGAAGAGCATTTTAAGAGATCCTTGGTAAAATTTCAGCATTAAAAACTACACTTCAGAAGCAAGTCATCTATACCAAACTGTATTTTACATTTATGTCTAATGTGTTTAAATATATTTCCTTTATTATTAAATATGTTGTTCAGTATATTTTTATATATTTTCTTGCAGAAAAAAAGTCTCGTCTGTGCCCATATCTGGACACCATTAATCGTCACATGCTTGACTTCGACTTTGAGAAACTTTGCAGTGTGTCACTCTCCAGGATAAATGTGTACGCCTGCCTCGTGTGTGGCAAATACTTCCAGGGTGAGTCAAGTTCTTCTTTTTAGAAATGAAACATCTTATGTAGGCTGTGTCCACCAGTGGCCTTAACATACAGGACAATACTGCAACATTATACTGAGAACTAACTAATCTAAGCCTGGATTTTCAGAGGCTTATATAGCTAACTACAGTTCTGTACAGTACAGTAAAGCCTCGAATAATGGCGTTAATGTGTCCTCCAATATTGCAGTGTACGGTGAATCGTCTTATCGCGAATCATTAATTACCATTAAAATAAAGCAATAATAATGAGATGCGTTCCCAAGTGTGACCTTTTCATATCTTTTGTGTGGCTTTTTCCCTCTTTTCCCCCAAAACTATACAATTAATGAAAATTGCAAACTATATTCTTTAAATAATGCTTATGAATGCTCCTTATACAATATAAATTAATAATAATATGGTCACACAAGAGGAGATGGGACGCCATTGTTTTCGTTGGTGTTTACAGCCGGGAGTCTGGGACTATAGTTCTACACGAGAAAATGAAGACAATATTACCCTGGTTGTAGCTGTAGTAAAATTAATGTAAAAAAATGAATATATATGTTTTAAATAACGTTATTTTATGTTAATAAATGGAACAATAGAAGTAGCTAACCACTAATGGCAAAGAAAAAAAAAGGGATGGATTGGAAACGGCAACATATACTGTACATGCGCATTTAAGGATACCGCGTCATTTATCTTTTTAAGAACATGTACAACAGATTCATTTTTGTTTATTACTGAATATGTATTTGATTGAATTAATCTTTATATATGCAAAATGAATAATACAATTCATTAATAATACGTAGAATATTAAAACACACAAGAGGATAAGAAATAGCATTGTTGTCAGTGTGTACACCCATAATGTCAGTTATCCACCTGAGACTGAAGAAAATAAGACCCTGGTTGTTGTTGTAGTAAAATTAATGTATGTTTTAATTAATGTTATTTAATGTACAGTCGAAGTAAGCACTGATATTAAAGAAAAAGTGAGACTGATAGTGGAATGCCAGTCATTTATCTTAAGAATATTTACAAAAGATTCATTATTGTTTATTACTGAATATGTATTGATTGAATAAATGTTTATATATGTGAAATGAACAATGCAATTCATTAATAATACTTAGAATATTAAAACACGCAAGAGGAGACAAGACAGCATTGCTTGCGTGAGTGACGATGGTTCTACATAAGAAATTGAAGAAAATAAGACCCTGGTTGTAGCTGTAGTGAACTTAATTTAAAAAAAAAATTAATACCTGTATGTATGTACAGCTCCTCCCCGACTTACGACCACCTGGACATACGACCGCCTCAGTTGTACCAAAATTTTTTCAAATTACGTATTTTCGAGTCCCAACATCAGTACACAGACAAATTTTTCATGTAATTCACTTTTAAATGGCTGGCAAACTTAAAAGTGAGAGTTTTGTGGTGCTAAGAAGAAAAAGAGACACCCATTTTAGATTTTCTATGTATTATTTAAGCATTTTCGACTTACGACCTGGATTTGGGCCCTTAACCCCGTTTTAAGTCGGGGAGGAGCTGTAATGTTATTTAATGTTAATAAATGGAACACTAGAAGTAGCTAACCACTAATGGACCATTAGTAATGGTAAATAAATAAGGCGAGACGATTGGGAACGCCAACGTATGAACAGTAAGTGCGTGTATGTGAAAACATATCGTCTATTCTCTACATATGAATATGAAAGCAACACTCATTTACTGTTCATATATGTTTTAAATAATATTTACGAATGTAAAACAAAAATTCTACTCACCAATGGTGGTAAAGTCTAAAACATAAGGACAGCCAATGAATATTGTGCGAGTTTTTACTCAGATGACAAAGTCATAAGGTTCAACCCTGGCTGAAGCTGTAGGTTCAACTCTGGCTGAAGCTGTAGCTTTCCATAAAGCTGTTGCTGAAACTGTTACTGAACCTGAAGTTGATGCTGAAGCTGCTTATGATGCTGAATTTGATGGTGTAGCTGAAGTTGATGGTTAAGGCCTTCGAATAATATAGCTGTCAAAAGAACCTTGTACAGCTGCATTCTTTTCTCATTATGCATCTTTATGTAGAGGTCATTTGCATTTATTTGAAGTTTATTGCTTTGTTCTGTGAATGGATCCACTTCACAAAATATGTTCATTGCTTGCTCCAATAATATCCACAGACCTCTCACCCTTTTCATTTCGTTTTAGCACATCTAGTTTCTCGGCTAAGTTTATACACTTTCTATTAGCTTTTGAACCAACACTACCACCACTTGCTCTCTTGCTCATGTTGAATAAGGATGGAAAATGCTCTAAGAAACCTGAGAAAGTTTTTCTCCAGTTCCTGTTCCAGATGCGTGAAAACAAAAGGCCCGCCAAGCTCCGACTTTTGTTTACCATTCATTAGCCAGGCAGCTTCTTTGCGCAAGGCGCTCTTCATTTTTTTTTTACAGTAATTATTATTTTTTATTTTTTATAATACATAATGGGATTTAGTTATTATTTATATGAAGATGTAATTTTACTTTATTTTTATTTTATTTTGGTCGTACAGTACTGTGGTCCCTCGGTTAACGAGCACAATCCGTTCTAGATGATTGCTCGTTAACCGAAAAACTCGTTAACCGAAACCATTGTTTCAATGGGTTTTTCAGTAATTCGTTCCAGCTCACCGAAAATTGCCTAAATTCAACAAAAAAAAGGTAGAAAAGTACACTTACTTTGAGGTGTGTATGTAGAAGGCTCTTGGATGATGATGCTGATGTGAGAAGAAGGGAGAAGAGAAGGAAGTGGAGGTGGAGGAGAAGCATTTTACTGCTTCTTGGAAGGTGAGTCACCTTCCATGAAAATGTCAGGAACCTCTGGACTGACAGATTCTCCACCATGAACATCCTCTCTCCTTTTTGAAGTGGAAGGCTGAGGGCTAGCATCTTGTTCCCTCTGCCTTTTACTGAAGAAAGTGTCAATTGTGGTCTGTGGGGCATCTCTCCTCCTCACCATTAACTTATTTTTAAAGAAGGAGACCATCATGTCCTCAACATGACACAAAGTTAGTTCAGATTTTTCCACATCTGTGTGCCTTGAAGCCAGTTTCCTGAACTTCTCCCAGTAGTAAATAACATCTTTCAACTCTGAAGTTGACATATGGTCATCACTTTCCTTTTCCTCCTCACCACTGTCAGCCTCTAACATCTCATCCAGTTGCTGCAATTCTTCAGGAGTAAGTTCCTCCTCATGAGACATCACAAGCTCTTCGACATCCTTCTCCTCCACTTCAAGGCCCAATGACTGACCAATGGACACAATCTCCTGGTCCAACTCTGTGTCATCCTGAAATTCCTCAAAATCATGGACTACTGATGGCCACAGTGCTTTCCATGAAGAGTTGAGGGATCTAGTGGAGACTTCTTGCCATGATGACACAATCAATTTTATAGCCTCGAGGATGTTGAATTGTGTCTTCCAGAACTGTTTCAGTGTTAGTTCAGGATCAGTGAATGTTGCCTGATGACACCTCCTAAACATTTTCTTCATGTACAGCTTCTTGAAGTTGCTGATCACATTCTGGTCCATTGGCTGTATGATTGATGTAGTGTTGGGAGGCAAAAACAACACTTTCACAAAGTCAAATTGGGACTCCAAAGTTCTGGCAAGTTCAGGGTCATGCCCAGGGGCATTATCCATGAGGAGAAGAGCCTTTAAAGGGAGTTTATTGGTGGTTAGGTAGCTCTTCACAGAAGGGCAAAACACCTCAACAGCCCATTCATTAAAGAGCTGTCTTGTCACCCATGCCTTACGGTTGCACTTCCAATAAACTCCAAGCTTTTCTCTTACCACTTTTTGTTGCTTGAACACCCTGGGGTTCTCAGAGTGGTAGACAAGCATAGGCTTCAGTCGGAAATCCCCTGAAGCATTGACACCAAGCAATAGAGTGAGACGGTCTTTCATGGGCTTATGCCCAGGTAAAGAGGCTTCATATCTGGTGATGAATGTTCTTTTGAGCATCTTTTTCCAAAACAGCCCAGTTTCGTCCACATTGAACACTTGCTGTAGAAGATGATTTTCCTTTTCCATTAGTTCTTTAAACTCCACTAAAAACTTTGCTGCCCCTTCCTTATTAGCACTAGCAGCCTCACCATGCCTAATAACACTGAAAATGTCACTTCTTTTCTTAAATTTTTTGAGCCAGCCTTTGCTGGCCCTAAAATCTTCAAATTCTGTGCCTGAAGAACCAGGTTGATCTATCTTTAAATGTTTGTTAATCTCCCTGGCTCTTTCACAAATAAATTCAGTAGAAACTGAACACCTATCATCTGTTTTTCCCTAATCCAGAAGAGAAGTAACCTCTCTGTTTCTGCAATTAGGGATCTACTTTTAATCACTCTGGTAGATTTGTCTCCCACTTTCACTTCTTTAAATTTGTCTTTCTGTGCAAGAATTGTCGACACAGTTGATGTCGACATGCCATATTCTTTGCATTTGTTCTAATGCTTTCTCCATGTTTTTTTTTATAATTTCCTGCTTAGTTTGGATTGAAATCGCTTTTCTTGATCTCTTTGGCCCCATGCTGGATTCAAACAATCTCAACACGTGATATTTTAAGTTTAAACTTGCTGTAAATAAAGAATATTTTCTTTAAAATAACACTGCACTGCATTATATATTGCCAATATGTAAAATAAATTTCAAAATGACCAATAATTTGCTTGGAAACAGAAAAAAGAGTTTAGTTGAAGAGAGTCTCAAGCAAGATGTTACCTCCACTGAAAAGACAGAGAGACTAACGCCTGTTTGGTGTCTTGGCAGGCTGGATGGCGCACATAAAGCTAGTTTCCCTACATTCAATTATGTTCAATAATTGTTAAAATGACTACAAAATTTAATATTAAACTTTTAAAATTATTGAATAGTATAAACTTCTTGATATTGACTAAAATAGTAAGGAATTTAAGCCCTAGAACCGGTTACTGTATTGACGGACTAAT